TGAGTGTACCTGCCTGTTTCAGCATTGGCCCTAGGTGAAGGGAAAAACAAAAACAAAAGCAAAACAAAACAAAAAAAATCAGAATGTCTCTCCTATCCCTAATCATAGGGTTGTTTTGAGCTGTGTAAGACTAAACCCACACTAGCCTCCTTTTCCCATAATACTCGAGCTGAAAATTTAATAAGTGATCTGAGTTTAGTAGTGACATCAGACAAAATTAAACAAATTTTTTCTGCAGGGATGAACTCTCTAACCAGGTGTTAACAAATTTCCAGAAATGAAATTCCAAGGAACATTAGCTCAATGTGGAAAAACAAAAATACAGGAACAAGCCATCCTGAGTAAAAAGCAAAAGAAAATTCTGCAGAATCAGATCCACAAAAGACCGATGATTTAGAATATCAGATACAGAATATAAAATATATATGATTAATATATTTAAAGAGATAAAAGAGGCTACTGAATGTATAATGAAGAAACAATATATTATAAACATGATCAAGCAGATATGAAGATACAGATAGAACTCTCAAACTGACAATGACCTTAGAAAACTCAACGGAATTAGAAAACTTGAAAGCTGATAAGTTGGCGGCTGGCACCCTGATGCTAAATCCTCCCTGCAGACACTAAAAAGAGAGGGAAATATGGATCTAAGGATGTAAGATAATGAGGGTAGAACATCTTAGGGGGAATGAAGGCTGTCATGTACTGAATGTGTATGTCTGTAGGGGATGGGGGTTTGTGGCAGCCCAGGATGAGCATGGTTGGGCACAGCAGTGGGAGGGTTGGTGGGGATAGAGTTTCCAAGTTCTGCTCTTGCCTTTATCCCACATTAACTGTTCAACTGGCAAAGAAACAGATACTACAGATCATGGTGAATCCTTGACCACAGGAGTTGCCTGGTTGAAAGTGTTCTATAATATTTGGGGTTCTCAGCCTAGGGGCTCATCCCACCCTTCTTTTTACTCCCCGGGAGTAACACAAATTAAAGCTTGACTTTTGGTCCTTCCACCAAACACACTATCAGATAAGGTAGCTGACACCCCTAGGGTAACATGAGTGCATAGTTAAAAACAGACACCTGAGGGGCAAAATCTTCATGAAAGAAAAACATAAACCATCTGAAGCAACATTACTGGAATAGACATACCAATTCTTTAAGCTAGATAAAGGAAAATATGCATTTAGATACATTATGGTAACATTGAAGAACATCAAATAGTAAAATAAAATTCTAAAAATTTCCAGAAAGAAATAGCAGGTCACCTAGAAAGGAATAGTTTTAAGATTAGCTTATAACATCTTGACAACAACACTGGATGCAAGAAGACAGTGGAAAAATATTTTATATGCAATAAAAGTTTAAAAAAAGCCTTTGAGTCTAGAATTTAATTCCCAGCCAGCCACATTTTTATTTAAATGAGTGGCTCAATAAAAATAATCTCAGGAATGTAATTCTTTATAAAGTTTGAAACAGAAGATCAATTATGAAAATAGTCTCGGAAGACGTATTCAAATAATAAGAGAAACAAACCTTGTTATGTGCTAACTCTTAAAGGAATATATTCTAAGTTTTTCCATTAAGTAAAATGTTAACTATAGATTTTTTTGTTATTTCACTTTTACCAAGTTAGGGAATTTCCCTTCTATTCTTAATTTGCTAAATTTTTCATCGTAAATAGGCAAAATTTTATGAAACCCTTTTCTGCATCAATGGAGATACTCATATGATCTTTCTTCTTTTGCTTGCTAGTGTAGGGAATTACTTTGATTTTTTTTCTGATGCTAAATCAACAAAAACTCCATAATACTAGTTAAGAACTGAAAAATAGACCAAGAAGACTTCGGAGAGAGTTCAGACACAGTGTTACCAATGAATGGGGAAAGATCAGACAATTGGCAGAAGATATCTGTATTATCTAAACCAACAAAGGGCAAATATAAAAAAATCTTTAAGAAACTCCAGAAAATTAAGAAGAAAAAGATAAAAATACAATTAAAAAGTGGGTAAAGATATGTACAGAAATTCACAGAAAAGGAAATCCAAAGACCTAACAGGCACATGAAGAGATACTCAAATTCTTTTAGTCATTACAACCAAAAACCAAGCCAAGCCTGTTGCCGTTGAGTCGATTCCGGCTCACAGAGACCCAATGAGACAGAGTAGAACTGCCCCATAGGGTTTCCAAGGAGTAGCTGGTGGACTCCAACTGCCGACTTCCTGGTTAGCAGCCAAGCTCTTAACCACTGCACCATCAGTTATTAGGGAAATATAAATTAAAATGAGATATTTCTTATGATATATCAGATAAGCCAAATGCAGGAAGCTAGATGATGCCACATAAGGGCAGGTGCATACAGATAATGGAACCTCATATTTCTTGTGGGAAGAAGAAACTGGTGCCACTTTCTGGAGACTGAACTGATAATAATATCTCAATTACATATACGTACTCCTGTCTCAGTGATTCTACTTCTAGATAGGAGAAATTCTCAGAAGTCCGTAAAGGAACATGGATGAGGATATTTATCATGCTGGTGTTTGGACTAGTGCAGAGTTAGAAGCGATTCATCCATCACTGGGTGAATAGATAATTAAAGCATTGTGGGGGCACATTATGGAATACTATGCAGCAGTAAGAATAGATTAAATACATACAAAGCAACATGGATGCATCTTTAAGAGTATATAGCTTAGTAAGAAAATAAAGCAGGATACACCTTACAGAAAATACAATCGTGAATTAAAAGTACATGAACTCAAGATAGCAATATATGTCTAATAAGGACACATACAAATAAAATAATGCATATTAACCATTAGAATGGTCGCCTGTGGTGGGGAAAGGCATGGCACTGGGGTTTAGGAATAATATGGAATAAGTAAATAAAACCAGAGAGTCCTTGCTTGAACTAATGATAAGTGTGTACCATGAACTAAGGAGTATAAGGAGTGTAATTACTCAGTCCTCTAAACCTGAGGTTAAAATAAAAAAGAAAGAAGAAACAAACTCAATGTATGAGTTAAAGAGCAGAATAGATATGATGTATGAAGAATAAACTTAAAGACAGATCTAAAGAAATTACCTAGACTGTAAATTAGTGACACAAAGAGATAGAATACATGGAGAGAAAAGGTTATACACCGTGGAATACTGAGTGAGAAGGAATAATATAGAATCTGAGAGAGAGGTAATATTCAAAGAGCTGATGGTTAAGAATGTTCCATACTTCATGAAACACACTCAGTCAAGAAGAGTCAAGAAGCTCAATGACATGCAAGCACAATAAATAGAAATAAACTACTCTTGGCACATAGTAGTGTAACCTCTATCAAAGACAAAGAGAACATGTTACAGTAATTTGAGAGAAGAGACAGATTACCAACTAAGGAGTAATGAAAATGACTGATGGCTGACTTCCCAGTAACAAGAAAGCCTGAAGAACATGCAATCTTCCAAGTACTGTGAGGAAATAGCTGTTAACCTAGACTTGTCCACCCAGCAAAGCCATCTTTCCAGAACTAGGGCAAAATAAAGATGCCATCAATCAAGAGAAAATAAAGTTTATACCAGCAGATCTTCACTAAAAGAATTTTTAGAATATGTAACTCAGGAAGGAGAAAATAAATGCTATAAAATCTTATTAGTAAGTATGGTGAGTATTATATAATCTTAGTATAACAATTAATTTTTTTAAAAAAAATTAGCAAATGTCAGAATTATTAGAAATTCCAATTAACATACCTGAATTAACTTGGATTTATTATATATAATTCTACCTGTGTCTTGCCTATTTATATCTCATATCATCATGCCAGTCAATCATTTGATAATCTGGTGTAAGAAATCCGAGTAATTAGCATAAAGCTCCAGTGTGTGTAATCAAATTACACTGTATTACATAAAATTGTTAATTTAAAATAATACAAATAAACTCCAAGTCCAAAAGCTGATGTGTCAAAAAAACAAAAAACAAACACTAGTTTTTCAGTTTATAAAAATGGAAGATTTAAGGGGTTAATTGCAATATTGACATCAATCTTTATTAAGAAAAAAAAAAAAAACTGTTGCTGTCGAGTCAATTCCAACTCATAGCGACCCTACAGGACAGAGTAGAACTTCCCCATAGGGTTAACCAAGGAGTGGCTGGTGGATTCCAACTGCAGACCTTTTGGTTAACAGCCAAGCTCTTAACCACTGTGCCACCAGGGCTCCAAAACCTTCATAGTTTACACTAAAGCCAAAATGCTACCATCAATGCTGTAATGATCTCAATATTTGCTTCTACAATAAACCTAGTACTAATATCTAGATCAACTGCTGAATATATAATAATATGTTTTGTATTTTCTTGTATATTAAATCTTATCAGCACCTAATTTGAACATGGGAGGCCTTATACAACAAGAAATTTTGTTCTATGGAGCCATAGTATACAAAGTAATAAAAAGTATTTACGGATGATTAAATATGGAAGTGAAGGAGAAACATTTAATCGACTGCAAAACTCATTTAATGCAAATGTACCTGGGCAATATAGATATTACTGGTATTATACCTGAAGGGAACATTTTCATCCAATGCATCTCACAGAAATTAAACTTCCTTCTTCTCTGTGAGTTTGGAATTTGTTAGACTGGGTCCAATTCCAGCACAAATTTCCAGTAATACATAAAGTGTATTTTAACATAGTATAGAAGAGTTTGAGTGACTTAAAAAACTCTACAGTGCCAAAGATACTGTTGTGAAAATGCAAAAGCAGAAACTAAAAAGGGCTATCCTAACCTTATCAGAGAGTTCATTTTGATGTTTTCTTTCATTCTGCCCTCCTGTTGTATTTTATAATAGGCTTTGTGACCAAGTATAAACTGAACTGATCTTAGAAGAAATGGAAATTGGCACATTTAAAAACAAACAAACAAAAAACAATTACATTTGCAGAAATTTAAAAAAAAATGAGCTGAGAACAGTTAGGTTAGCGTACTTTTAACTTCTTCAAGATTTTACCTTATATCTAAATAAAACGTCTGATTTTGGATACTGAACACCAAACAACATTCGTCTGTAGCTCATTTCTACAGGTTTATCATCAATTATTTCTAAATCAAAATAAGTTACAAGCGCAAACAACAACTGCTTCACTTCAGAAACTGCGAAAAATCGGCCCGGGCATTTGGAGATTCCAGATCCAAATGGCATTATGCAGTGCTTCAGCTTTTTTCCTCTTTTGAAAAAGGTGGTTTTCTTCTTACCATCTTCTACAAAACGATCATATCTAAACTCCTGTAAAGAAGAACGGAGTGTTAAAATTTAAAAGTTAGCACAAAATAGTTGGAGGTCAGTTCCACAAAGCTGTCAGTTCTTCCTCGCTGTCTTAAAAAACGGTTTTTTTTTTTAATCTGGCAAGCACCAGAAAGTAAAACTTGACTAAGTGCAACTAATGTAGGAATTTAAAAAAAAAAACCTCAAATGCTACTAGGAAATGACTTCTGCCACATCAAAATGAAATCCAAATACCAATATGATTTTTCTTCCCTATTCATATCTATCTCATACCCTGAGCTTTCTAAGTATAGAGGCCTTCTCTCAATTTTTGCTCTGTAAGGCGGGTCCTGATTCGTGGGCCTTTGATATTCCAATGTTTTGTGAAAGGTAAGGAAGGGCTTCATCACCGCCATTGTTATCATGGAATAATGAATCCCACTGACCGCAGGAGCTGCCTAACTGCAAATCCCAAATGTACTTTTGTCTTATCCCTCATGCCTTCCCTGGTGGATGAGAACTAAGAGTTTACATGTACTAGTGTTGGGATTAAACAGATTTAATAGTAAGATTCAGATGAAATATTAGGGAGGAAGTATGCCACAAACTAGGTCTTGCTTGTTTTTTTGATGTTGTAATGACTTTCCCCTATGACATTTCTATTAGAATGAACTCTAGGGTGGCAGGTGGTTGTGATACATTTTCAGAAATAAGTTACATTATTTTTTACAGAAAATTATGGGACTGGATTTCCTAGGAGGATGTTTGGCCCACCATCTTAATTTTGCCTTGCCGTCAAAGGGTTATGGTTCAGCTCTCACTTGAGTTTCCGAGAGGAGACCGAGTGACCTTATTTCAGCCCGTGCTGAATTAAGCCATTGATTAAATTAACGCACATGGTACGCATGAAAACGACCAAGTATTTCCCGTACTTGGTGCTCATTAGCATTAGGCCAGCATACAACTTTGAAATGAACTACATGGAGGCAAATACAAAGAAGCAGGTCAGATTAAAAGCATTTATGTTACGGTGAAAACCCTACACTAAATGGGTAGAATCCATACAGTCCATTACAAATGATCTAATTTTCTCACTCAATGTCAGTGTTGTTAAAATCAGCAAATCATTTCCTTTAAAAGTACTGGTTTTAATTTTTTCCCATTTACCTAGGATACTTATTTGATAAGTATTCATGCTTAGAAAAATACACTGAGTCTATTTTTTTCTTTGCCTTCAATTTGGAAGTTGATGCAATCATAATGGCAAAATGATCTGCATTTTTATAACTCTTTAACGCCTGACAACTAATTCTTGAGCTCTTTAGAACAGAAGTATATGTTATCACAGATAGTTCTTGGATGAATCTGAAAAGGCTCTAACCAGTGTTAAACTTAGAATACCTGTTTATCCCTTACCAGGGAGTCCCTGGGTTGCACAAACGGTTAAGGACTTCACCAGGGTGAGATTAAGGCATGTGAGGGCCGTAAACACTGATTATCTGTGGTGCCCCCCTCTGCTTACTCACATATTCAAATGGGATATGTGAATTATATATATACATGTATTATATATGTGTGTGTGTCTTAGCTATCCATGATGTAACTTCTTTTTAAATGCAACTATAATATTAGCAACTGAATGTAAAAGTGGCATATGCCATTTTAGTGGAATGAGATGAACTGGATTATAAAATTTTTAGTGGGTATAGGGTACTTATATTTTTACTAAATACCACATTTTCTACAAAAAGAATATTCTATATATTCTACAACAAAGAAAACGAGTCAGTGAACTTAGTTGCTTCAATAATCAATGTAAATTTCTGTTGATCTTCCACAATGAAAAACTAGCAAGAGTTAGACTCGACAGCCTACCCCTACCTCAGTTCATTAGAAAGAAACAGTATACTCCCAAGAGACCTGCTGAGATGAGGAGTTTCAATTACATGGGAGGGGACCATAGGAGACAGATGTCAATGAAGGTGTCGAAGTGGTAGGAGCCTCAAAGCTTAAACAGCCTTGTGCGTGGGCACCCTCGTGGCCCTGCGTGAACTTTATTTCTGGCCGGCACATTCTCACGCACTGGAGTTGGTATCAGTTTCATTTAGTGTCCTGCCATTTCCCTTCCGCTGTGGCGCTTGCTTGTGTTCTGTCTGCTTGGTATCTATAGGTCTTTGCTGTAGACAACTGGTGCCTCTGTTTTGTTGATGCCCTAAGCAAGTGCTTACTTTGCTTATTGGGTAATCCGTCCCTGTTCTCAACTACTAGCCAAAAAGTTGGTGGTTCAAACCCACCCAGAGGCACTTCAGAAGGCAGGCCTGACAATCTGCTTCCGAAAGATCACAACCTTGAAAACTCTATGGAGCGCTTCTAATCTGCACACATGTCGTTGCCATGAGTCGGACTCAACTTGATGGAAACCACCACCACCACCACCAGCAACACCAAATACATCCTTATAGCAACAAACAAGGACACCCTTTGATGACATACACTTTATTACTAGAGGCAGAGTTACTAACTATAAGGCACTTTCTCCTGGTGACCCTTTCCACTACTGAAGCCAGGCCTACTTGCCTGAAGTCAGTACTACTTCCTCCTCCTCCTCACTGACCAATGTGAGACCAGCAATCTCCCCAACACCTTCCTGCCTGGGCAAATCAGTTTAAATGAACTTTGCTCTGAAATGATTTATTAAACAAGGTTTAAGCCAGAAAATGCTAAAAAGAAAGCTTAGCTTGGGTTATAAAGTTACAGAATCCTGATATCACAAATATGCCAGAAACTATCATGGATTTCATGTTCTTTGTGAAAATCTACGTGCTGCCACCCTCTAGGAGGCCATAGTGATAAACCTGCCATGTCTGAGTGTCCCCCATCCTGACTACCTTCTGTTAGCACTGACATGCAATTCTCTCAAATTTCTAGTCAATCAGTTACGTCACTTCTGTAGTTCCCATCCACCTTCTACCCTATTTTCTCTTAATAAAAATCTTAGAAATTCCTATTTCATTGTTTATTATATGAAACAAGAAGGAGAAAGGCCAACTTCTTTTGCTCTGTGACCACCAACAAGCTCAAAGGGCACAAGGCCATAAATATGTTTTTGAGTTAAAATTTATTTTTAGTTTGTTGCGTTGCCAGTGTCTGGGCAGTCTGAGCAGTAACAAAGTTAGGAAGGGCCTATGGTAGTTGCTAGGAATATAGACAGGTTTTAGCCCAAAAGGGGAAGGGTTAAGTCTCACCCCTGAGATTTCAGGGTCACAATGACATAGAACAAAGGGTCAGGAAGTTCAAGATATGCACACTCATTTGGGACAACTGAAATGCAGGATTCTCCATGCTGACTTAAACTCTTCTTGCAGTAACGATAATAAGCTTAGCACTTCACAATTAAAGAGGATCAATTAAATGAAATATTATAGGGGTGAGAATATAGGAATCATACGAGAAGGTATATGACAAATTCCCCAGTGTGCCTCTAGTAATTGTTGTGGTTAGCTCCCCAACATCATTCCTCTGCATAAGATTTGTCTAAGCATAAATCACGGTAGTCACATTTCCCTTGCCAGTGGCTAATCTAGGATAAGGTGTGTGTGAACCAATCTAGTCAGTGTTACATGGATGAAAGTCTGTGAGGACATCTGGGAGAAGTTCCGTTCTTGTGAAGAAAAAAAACAAAAGCAAAACACACACAAATAAACGGCTTATTCCCCTTTCTTTCTCTGGACCTAGTCATGTGGGAATTCTTTTTTTATCTCTATATTTTCAAAGCGCCCAACACAACACTATGCCCATAGTAAAGTTTCCATATATTTGTTGAATTAATGAATAACTAAATGAGAATGAAGTAGAATTTAAAAGCAATCTTCAAGCTTTTAAAAAAAACGCACACTGAATGAATAAGTAAACATGTAGTGAATGGGGAATAAATGAACATTCAGTGTTTACAAAAATAGAAAATGGTATAACATTGAAACATTAGAAGTCCAGATTGGATAGATGATATAAATTTCTGGATAGAAGAGAATTTTTGGTATAGGGGCCTGGAGAAGATTGCAAAACACCTTAATTTGTGTTCTCCAAATACTATGCTAAGTTCATTTCAAGAGATTTTTCTAGCACCTCCTCTATGTGAGGCACTGACGTTACAAAGGAATAATACATGATCTAGCTGAGGTAGGTGATACACAATATGATCATGAAGTGCACCCACTCATTTATAATTTTGGGTATAGACATCTAAGTTAAACGAAAGATATGACTTCCTAGAAATAAAACAAAAACTGCCAGCTTTTTGAATGAATGACTAAGGGCTATACTGTTGCTGCTGGTTTACAGCCCTCCTGGGGCAAGATGACAGAACACAGAAGTCCCTTTTTATCTCCCTGATTTGGGTTCCCATCAGTGGTGTGCCTCAGCCCGCTTGTACCAGCTCATGAGAGTATGCACATTTCTTCCTAACTCTGTGTTATAATGTCACACTGGGAGCCTGAAATCAGCCATGGTGTGAATATTTACACCACAGAAGCTGACAAATGCTCAAATCAGGGATTTTTTTTGTTTTTTTTTGAGACCTGGTTTACCTGCACACCACTGGTTCCAATGCTGCAGGTACCAGTAACCAGTCGCTGTAGAGTTGATTTAGACTCAGGATGACCTATGTGTGTCACAGTGGAACTATGCTCCCATAGGGTTTTCAGTGGCTGGTTTTTCAAAAGGTGATCAAGAGACCTTTCTTTCGCAGTGCCTCTGGGTGGACTTGAACTATCAACCATTTGGACCACCTTTTGTTGTTAGGGGTCATCGAATCCGTTCTGACTCATAGTGACCCTGTGTACAACCGAACGAAACACTGCCAGTCCTGCACCATCCTCACAATCGTTGTTATGCTTGAGCCCATTTTTGTAGCCACTGTGTTAATCCATCTCAGTGAGGGTCTTCCTCTTTTTCACTGACTGTCTGCTTTACCCAGCATGATGTCCTTCGCCAGGGACCGATCCCTCCTGATAACATGTTCA